GCATGTATATATATACATATACATATATATTATATATGTATGTATAAATATATATGAATATTTTCAGGAAAATAAGGGAATAGAGTAAGAAAAAAGTACTGTTTTACAGAAGCAGAAAAGTCCTCTCAAAGGATGTGGTATATGAATGAATGTGGTAAGGACATATGGATGTCTGAGAGAAATATCTTATCAAGCAAAGAGGACATATGCAAACAGACTGAACGTGGAGATGTACTTGTTTTGTTGGAAGAACAGGAAGTACATTAGTGGGTTACTGTGGACAAGGAATGAGTACATGCTGCAAGTGGACAAGATATGCTTAACTGACTTCATTTTAATTACCTTATTTTGTATTCAGTCAGTCATTCATTTTACTATCAAAATAATTTTTGCATCTCATCGTGTGTGAGGCAGTGTATAATGTGTTAGGCTATAAGAATGAAGAAACAGCATAGCTTGCTATCCTGAAGGGACTCACACTGTAGTGGGGGAGACAGATGATGCCATAAGTCAAATTCAGATGTCTTACTTATAAAACATATTTTATTATTTTAAATGAATCAAGATGAAGAGTGACTTGGAAGTATGTCAATCATATATTAGAGGAAAAATCAAATTAAATAAATACATAACTATAAAACAAATTACATCAATCATGCTATGCAACCTTCACCAATATCTGCTGCCAAATTTTCCATCTCCATAAGCAAAAACTCCATGCTAACATGTGGACATATGTTGAGTTGGAAAATGTCATGTTATGCACACAGTAAAAGAAGCCAGTTCCCACTGAGGTGACTCTGATTCATGGTATTTCAGAGTAGAGCTGCTCTCTACAGGGCTTTCACTGGCTGTGATCTTTCAGAAGAAGAATGTAGGGTCTTTCTTCTGAGGTACTTCTTGGTAGATTTGAACTGCCAACTGTTTGTAACGGAGTGCTGAACTATTTGAACCACCCAGGGGCATATGTATGTGTGTGTATGTGTATATATGTAGAAATATACTTTATTGTTGTTATGTGCCATCAAGTCGGACCCAACTGATAGCGACCCCTCCTTGGGTTTCTGAGGCAGTATCACTACGGAAGTAGATTGCCCCATCTTCCTTCCAAGGAGTTGCTGGTGGATTTGAACCGCCAGCCTTCTGGTTAGCAGTCAAGTGCCTTAGGCACTATGCTACCAGAGCCCTGAAATATACTTTATATATATATAT